ATTCAAATGTATCCACTTTCTATCTTAAACTGCCACAATAAAAAAGGCTCATTTTTAGTCAGGGTAGATTTTATGGTTTTATGGTAAAATTAATTCCTGTCTTTAAAAAACATTGCCCTCCCCTCTCTCCCAGGGACGGGTGGTGCAGGGGAAATGAGTAAGAACTGGCAAATCAATTGACAGTGAACAGTCTCCTCGGAAGAATTTCCTCATTCCCAGCTTTGCCCGGCCCTCTTGAACATTAACTCGGAGAATGATTATAATGTGATATTTCAATTAATTAAGGGAAACCACAGGGCTCTGGTGTGTGCAGTTGAATAATGAATTCAGAATGTGGGAGCCATCACCCAGGGCAGGATACTGGTGCCGACCCAACGCCTGCCCAGTGGGCTGTCTTCTCTCCTGGAGTGTGAACTTGTTCACGGTCAGGGCTGCCTTTGAGTTCAGTCTCGCCTGCATCCGGGGAGGGAGAATTGTGGGGTGTGGGGCAGTTGGTGGCACAGCGGTACTGCCACTGGACTCACATGGGAACATTCCTTGGTTGGCATCCTGGGCCTTCCCTGAGCACACTGAGTGCAAGTCTGTGATGGGCAGCTGAGGCTGGGGGTGGGTTGCAGCATGAAGACCCTATGGGGTCTCTCAGGCCCCAACACATCTGCACGCCTACTTCTCTCTCCCCATCTCCCCCTTTGTGGCTGCATTCCAGCAAGCTGGTCTCATGTGCTCCTTGAACCTCCCCTACCACCGCCAGGCATGCTCCAGCCTCTCAGTCCTTTTTTTTTTTTTTCCCAGAGGTTTTCACTATAGGGTGCATGAGCTTGCCAGAAAGACACACACACAGAGAGACAGAAAGCGAGAAATCATCCCCCAGAGGGCATGGCCTCTCTTCTCCTCCGTTCTCTCAGGATCTTAGGCATGCACACACACGCAGCTGGCATGAGTTTAAGCCACCAGGTCCGGCACTCGAACTGCCATAGGCTACGTGGGAGTCCAGCAACATAGCCATTACGCCAACTGCTAGTCTGTCTCAGTTCTGTCTTGTCTCTCCAGTGAGACCATCTCTGAGCACCTTCTTGGACATTTCCACCCCTACCCACCCCCTGCTCATTCTCTACTCCCCTCCCCCGCAGATTTCTCCATCATGCCCCTAGCCCTGTGGCAGACACCAGCTCAGGTTCTTCACTTACCGTCTGCCTCCCTCATTGGAGACCTGTGGGATTCCCGTTTAGTTACCTGCTGTCTACCTAGCACCAAGGAGAGATCCCACACAGTCATCACAATGTCAGGTTTGAATAAACAAAATAAATAAATAAATGCCATCTCGTCCCTTGACGTGCCCACCAGTGAGGCTCCCTTTTTCAGCAGCTGGTGTCAATACCACTAAATTACTCCAGCCAGAAGTACGAGGTCATCCCACTCTGCGCTCTCTTCTTGTAGCAACCTGTCCCTCTGCATTGCCCCCTCAAGCCTGCCTCCTGCCCTCCAAGATTCCCCAGCACCTTGCACTCTGGTTTAGGCCAGCATCACTGTGTGGCTTTGACTCCATGTGCACTGGCTCAATCCATCCTCCACGCTGAAGCAGAGCCAGCTTAGAAACCGAGTATGAGCTCCTCACTTTCTTTCTCAAATCCCCAGAAGCCTCCCCTTGCCAGACTGAGCCTACTGTCAGGCACACGGGCCCGACCCATCTCATCCCGGCTCTAGTCCACCTCCCCAGCCTTCGCGGCCCGCCTCCTCATCCCCATGGAATGGAGAAGCCTGCCATTCCTCATATCCTCCATGCTTTCTTGCAGACTTCGTGCCCTTCCCTCTCCCGAAACACCCTTCCTAAGTCCCATCCCCATGAAGCCTTTCCGGGCAGCCGTGGCTAGGTGCCCTGAGAGGTCCAGGCATGCAGGACAGAGAGGCAGGAGACCTGATTGAGTCCTGGCTCCACTAACTAGCTGAGCACTTCCAGTTCGATGTCTATCAAGTACAGAAGGATGGCACTAAGTGCCTGAGGGTAGGCAGGGGCAATAAATGAGATGGCGCATTGTAGGTGTTTAATAAACATATTTCTTCCCTCTCCTGAGCTCAGGTTCTCCTTACTTCTATTTAGCATTGCACTTCCCCTGCTCTGTAATTGTTTTCCTGCCAGACTGTGGCAGGGACTGTCTGATTCAATTCTTTCCCCACTCTCCCAGCAACTGGCGGAGAGCCAGGACCCTTTTTTCTCTCTCTTTTTTTTTTTTTTCTTAACCCAACAAACTAACTGAGCAAACTAATTAACAAAGTGGCCACCAGAGGTCAGCTTCACACTCAGGATGGGGCCAGCCCAAATTGAAACTCCCAAGTGGCCTCAGCCCTGATGGCTCGGGCAAGAAGCTGGGTGTGCCAGGATTGTTGTGCACTGTCCTGGGTTCTCCAGGCATAGAGGCCTGGCAAGACGTGCTCCCCAGGACACCCTCCCTATCCACCCTACCTCACCATTCCTCCCACTGTCATGGGAAACTGACTCCAAACTGAGCTCTCACTCAACCTCTTGGCTCCCATATCCTCATCTGAAAAAGAGTAGCTCTGCTTTGGGGGATTGTCATGAGGTCTCCACAGCACGCCAAGTGCCTGGCACAGTGCTTGGCAGAGTAAGGGGAAGGTTTGTTGGATGGATGGATGGATGGATGGATAGATGGATGACCCAGAACTGCAGCATCCACCACTGGGTGTAAGTCTCGGGGTGGCGTCTGTACTGAATCACCATGGCCAGCTAACCCTCCCTGCTCACAGGTCTGCACTCAGAGCAATGAACCAATGGAGAGGGGCCTGAGGGGCATGAGGCCTGAGCTGATGAAGAATCTGACCTATCTAGGGACCGGACAGTGGGGCAGCAGGGAAATACGACACTCTCTGTGGCTGACTCGATGGGAGGGTTCCCAGTTCACACCCAGAGACCTTCCTGAGAATGCCAGGCATGCCAGTGATTGCGACCTGGGGCTGGCTGGACAGGAGGTGGATTGCAGTGGCAGGGCTCTTCTGTTGGGGGTCCTCTGCTTCTGTCTCTCTCACTCATGGAAGAAATACATTTTATATATGTGTGTGCATAAATAAATAAATATACACACGCACATGTATATATGTATATATATACATATGTATATATATATGTATATATATATACATACACACACACACACACACACATACACATGAATCTGACCTGACACTTTAGTCTCAGAATTTCAAGGATCCTGAAGATGGATTTTTCCCAATCCCACACTATACTGGGACACACTCAACAAATCAAATCAGGAATGGATTTCTTAAAATATTGTGACCTTGTC